CAGTCAGAGAAAGATCTTCTATATGCTGGTTCACTCCCCAAATATCCATACCAGCTGAGGGGTTGGAGGGCAACCTGGAGCCTGGGCTTCATTGGCAGGAAGCTGGATCAGAAGAGGAAAAGCTGGGTCTGAGACAGGGCATAGCATGCGGCAGCCTAACAACCCACTGTACCACAACTCTGGACCTCACAGCTTCACGTTTAACCAAGTATCAATATAGCAATGCTATGTAATATCAATAACAGGCAACTCAAGTGGGAAACTGCCTCCAGCTCTAGTAAGAGGTAACACATCGTCTCGGTTTTATTCCTACAGGAGAACACATCCATCCATTCAGCCAACCATGTTTCCATCCACCCATCCTCCCATCCACCTGTTCATCCACCCACCCTCCCATCTATTCATCCACCCATCCTCCCATCTATCCATCCACCCATCCTCCCATCTATCCATCCACTCACCTTCCCATCTATCCGTCCACCCATCCTCCCATCTATCCATTCACCCAACTTCCCATCTATCCATCCATCCATCCTCCCATCTATCCATCCACTCACCTTCCCATCTATCCGTCCACCCATCCTCCCATCTATCCATCCACCCACCCTCCCATCTATCCGTCCACCCATCCTCCCATCTATCTGTCCACCCATTCTCCCATCTATCCGTCCACCCACCCTCCCATTTATCCATCCACCCACCCTCTCATCCATCCATCCACCCACCCTCCCATCTATCTGTTCTGTGGAGAGGAACCAGAGCAGATGGAATAAAGCAAAGTATACTCGCACTGCCATCCCAGCTCCACCACAAACTTGCGGCTCTGGACAAACCACTTGATGCCCTTAGTCTATATTTTTCCTCAGCCTCCTAAATAAGAACAATAACAGTGCCCATGACTTTAGTACAGTCACGATGATTAAATTAATGTGAGTGCTTGGCACAAGAAAAGCCCTCAAGGGTTAATCATCCTAATGACAAGAATTATTCTAATTACTATGACTATTGAAAACATCCACTTGTCCACACCCATGTAGACTGGATTCTGGACTAGGCAGCAAATAGCGTTAGCCCTCTGGTTTTACAGGGGTCTTTATTGGGGCATTGGATTTCTCAGGACAATATCTCAGCACACCCTCTGGTCTTTTTCTTCCTCTCTATGCTGAGGATGGGCCTCAGCCCCAGAGCCATGCCTGAGCTAGGCAAAGCCATGTTTAAACAATTACGAACATTATGTTGCAGGTACCGTCCGTTGGAGGTATGCTAGGCACTGCATTCACCCTGCAGAGGCATTTTGTGTGGGGGTTTTGGGTTACAGCTGGGCAATGCAAGTCGCAAAACAAGTTTTCATAAGCTGGACCTGTCACAGAGCAGGCAGCAGCTCACGCCGACACTCGCACGGTAAGATTAAACAGCATGCTTTGTCAGGCACTAAATACTAACACAGCTCCCATGTCAGGGGGACACTGATTAAAAGTGATGTCAATAATTTATGAAACACAATATGGTCTTCAGATGCGCTTTTGGAAAAAAGTTAGGAGGCAAAGGGGCCCAACAACCCAGGTGGTGGAAAACTGTTCATGCATTTTCTCTTTCTATGACCTCTGCACCACGCATGGGTGCTTCTTTGCACGATGCATCTGAAGGCACATGTGTGTCAAAACACATGAGCACAGCCGATACACACAGGCGTATAGTGTTTAGTCATTCCCTGGAGAACTGTCGAGACTGTGTAACATTATACATACTCTTGTCTTTCATATTGCTTGGAGGATATTTTCTCCCCCCAAAAAAAAAATTCCAAAAAATTACGTTTCAAATAAAACTGGACTTTTCTAAAGTCCACGTTTTTCTGTATAAAACTTGTCTTTAAGACAGGACCGGAAAGAGAGCACACGGAAGCTGAACATTTCTCTCCCGTCTGGATATACTTCGGCCTTTTCTGGAAGTGACGGTTCCCGGTCAATCATTATCCACACATTTTTACTTTTTTTGGAGGTTTTTTTTGCCATTGTGGGGAAAAGGGAGAGTAAGACTTCCCCTAAGGCAGTGTGACTTTTTTCTTCTGTTATAAATCACGTCTTATGATCTTATAAAAGAAAAGACAGAATGACACAGGAAGAACAACAGACTGGCTTTTGGAATAAGGAAAAAAAATTTCTTCTCCATGCCTTAGTTGTGAATACTACTGGTAGCCTGACTTCATGTCAACAGTGTGAAATTCACAAGATAGGATTATGTTGGGGAACAATCCGAGTCCCAGATAGCACAAAGTTAGGGTGTGAAGGATTTATTAGCACGTTTTCCTAGCCCAGTGCCCCGCAGGATCTGCAAACACCTGTTAAATACTAACTCACTCACATATCTGCACGATGAGGCCTTTTCATAAATGTCTGACCTTTCGTTGTAAATCAGTTCTAAACTGTCCAGGCTGGTTTTCTCCTTGACCGAATGATGGAAAAATCACGAGGACTTCAATTAAGTCTTTATGGCAACATCAATGTGATGTTTCTAGTTATATCTATGAGGTATTAGAACACCTATTCAGAAAGGAAACTATAAATAACTTCAACCTCGTTGAATTGGCTTTGCTTTTCTGAGATGACTGAATAATTGGCAAGATTTAAAGAGACTTAACAATGGAGAATTAAAATAACTTCAGTTGAAAAAAAAAAAGAAACCAGAAAAAAAAATATTGTTAGCCAATCATTTGTCATGTAGATTATGTACTTATTAGGCCTAATTAAACTTTCTGAACCAAAAAAGAGAGAGAGAGAGAGAGAGAGAAAGCTTACTAATTACATTAGTTAATATGTTGATTGCTCAATTTGGCCAAAAAACAGAACAACCAACCCAGAAAAAAAAAAAGCCAACCCAATTTGTGTGCACGGCAAGTGCTTTTGGTCAAAAGACACAAATCCTAAACTAGCGAGATTATTTCAAGTGCATGACCATCTTTTGAAAAAATGCAAGTTACTTGGCCACATGCAAAGTGACAGGGAGAGAAGGGGCCTGGCCGTGTGAATCTGAACAATACCACGCTGGGACACATCTTCCAGCCGCTGAGCTGTATACCCCATCAAGTTGATTCGCCTCAATGTATTCACTTGTGTTTGTCCAATTAGACCAGGCCAGGGACAACACAAAGTCATCTTTTCTTTGCACGTACAAACGAAAACTGATAGCAAAACCCTGGGAAGCCCTTTAAATGTCGATAAAGGGTTTTTACGCACAAAAGGAAGAAAAGAAAAGAGGAAGGGGGGAAAAGAGAAGAGATGGGAAAAACCAACATTTCGGAGGCCACGCAGCAGATCAAAGGAATTTTATCCCCAAGGCCACTACATCAGGGTGTAACTTGCCTCTCTGGGAGGGGTGGCAGGGGTGAGGGGAGGGATGGCGGGGGGACACAGGACACTGAGGAATCTCTGGGTCCTGGAAACCCCTCGTGGCCCTGGAAGGAAAGGAGCTGAACAACCAGGTCTGCAAGAGAGGGACAAGTTGAGTGTGAAAATGGAGGCCCGCCGCCACACCACAGGAGGCGCCTGCAGCCCAGGGCGCCTGCCTGCGTGGGCCTCCAAGACATGTTTTCCATTCGCTGGCTCCAAAGCCTGCATCCCCAAGTCATGAGGCACAAAGTATCCGACAACAACACGACACAATTAATCAGAACCAGACCGCAACACGTGTGTCTGTGAGGACCAGCCAACGTTGCAATGTTCCACTGAAGAGACCCCCCCCCTCACACACACACACACACACACACAAACTACCCCACACACTGGCTGCTCTAGGGATTGGGAGGGGGGGGGGACAGGGGAACATAAGCATCTTCCCAGTGAGTTCACAAAAGAGATACAGCTTTCAGGGGGTGCACCAGCTCCAGATTATTCTCACAAGCACCACAGTCTGGTGTGCACACCACATCTCCTCTGAAGACCTCCAAACATTGACCTGCTGCCGGCCTGGCAACATAAAGTTGCGCAATTTACAAGTAGAACCTACTTAGCCCTCCCCTCTTCCCTGCCCCCCCCCCCCTTTTTTTCTTGCTAAGCCTCATCTCTCATCCAGGGCCTTTTCACCAAACCCAGCTTTTGCCAGATTTCTCTCTCCCAGGAATTAAAACTCCATTAAGACGTAGAGAAGCCAGGCCCTTGGCAAACTCCAAACTGTTTCAATTCGCCAAATCTTCAAGAGCTAACCACCACCACCACTGCCACCCATCTGGTGTTGTTACTTAGAGCCAGACTGAACTAGTTTTAAAATAGTTCCTGAACTCTGCCTTGTCACCTGTAGAGAGAAAATCACTGAAATCACATCACTTCTTTTTGCTCATACAAACACCCTTCAAAGGAGCAGGAAAAATCAATCTCCTCCCCCGACCCCATCCCTTCACCTGCCCCAAAGCCGGAAAATGACTTAGCAGAGCGCTCAGCAGTGATATTCCTCGGGAACCAGGCTAGGTGTAAATCGCAAATAGTTCTTTGTCGCTTCCCAAGGGACTGGGGGTGGGGGTGGCGGGGATTTGGCGGGACTAGAGCCTGGATTTCCAACCGCGCGCGCCCGGCTGTAGTCTTGCGCAGAGCAGGGAAGTGAATCCTGGCGTTTGGGTCGGAGCAAGGGAGAGATTCGGCGCCGCAAAAGCTCGGCAGGGCAGCTCCCTACTCCCCCACAGCCCCGACCCCGGACCCCCGCCTAGCCCCAGCCGCCACCCTCGCCCGCCTCGTCTTCCCCCTCCCTCCGGCCTTTCTCCCGCTGTTTCTGGGCAGCGCAGGGCGCAGCAAACTCTCAGCAAGGGCAAGCCAACCCGCTCTGGAGCCTCCCTGCGGCGGAGTGCAGGGCACAGAACGCTCGGGGACGCACGCCCACTCCCCAGCCTCCCGCACAAGCAGCATCCCACAGCCCGCGACTCTCGGAGGCAGCCTACATCCACCCCCCCAAACACACACACACACACACATCTCCCGACCCCGCACGCATTTTGCGCGCGGTCCCCCACTCACCCACGCACTCGTTGGCCTCGCGGGCCGTGGCGCGCTGCCAGGGCCGGTCGTAGTGGAAGGGCTTGCAGCGGTCGCACTCGGGGCCGGCCGTATTGTGCCTGCACTCGCACACCAGGTTGTCGTCGCGGTCGCGCACACAGCGCGCAGCGTGACCGTTGCATTTGCAGCGGCCGCCCACCTGCAGGTCGGACACAGCGTAGAAGTACGAGTCGCGTGCCAGCTCCGAGTCGTCCTCGTTCTCGTCGCCGAACGTGTGCAGGCGGCTGAAGGTCACGCGGATGTCGGTGGCCGTGACCCAGTCCTGCAGCACGGGGGAGTTGTCGAAATCGTGCGCCGAGGGCCGCCCGTCCAGCGTGCTGAAGGCGATGAGGCCGCCGGCGAGCGGGCGCATGTCGGTGTGCGAGTCGGTGCACACCGCCTCCTGTTCGTTCTGCTTGGTGATGGGCGCGCGATGCGGCCGGTTGTACATCTTGCGGCACTGCGTGGAGTAGAACTGGAAGGGCACCCACGTGCGCCCGTAGTCCATGGACTTGTAGATAGCCATAGACTCCGGCCGCGGCGAGCAGAACTGCAAGCTCACGTAGGTCACCTCGAACTTCTTGCCGAGCGACAGCGTGAGCGTGACGTTGTGCGGGAACTGCTGGTAGTTTTCGGACTGCCAGCACGTCAGGTTGTGCGGGTTGTTCAGATCGGTGAGGAAGGCGGGCGGGTGCGCCTTTTTGGGGTCGGATGCGTTGCAGAGGTGGCACGAGCGCAACCGCTCCTCGCCGCGCTCGCTCACCACGCAGTAGCGTGCCGGGGGCCGGCCGCAGGTGCTGGACACGCGCACTTCCTTGCCGAAGGCCGCGTTTACAAAGTCCGGGATGCAGCGGCGCGGGTGGCCGTTCTCATCCGTGCAGGGGTCCGGCAGCGCCGTCTGGCCAGCGAACATGCTGAGCCCGGGCACGTTGCGCACCGCGCCCACCAGGCACACCAAGGCTGCAAGCGCCACCAGCGCCTCCCACACGGTGCGCATCTTGCTGCGTCCAGCCTGGCCCGGCACCGCCGAGGAGTCTGTCCGCCCGCCACAGAAAGCGCCTGCGGAGGAAAAGAAGGGAGCCACGCTCAGCCAATCTGCCCCGCGTCCTCCGGGCCCTCGCCGGGGTGGCGATCCGAGGGTGGGCGCGGGCCACCAACACCCGCCGAGCTTCTTCCCGGGGCACCAAACCCCGGGAGCCGAATACTCCCCCTTCGCTCCCCCTAAGAATTTCAGGGATGAGGGACTCTGGAAGCGTCTTGGCCCGCACCACCACAGGCGCTCCCTCGCTCCCGGGTCGGGCGGTGAGCCCGGGCGCTAGCGGGCGTACGCTCGGCTACCCCGCCACCGCCGCCTCCGCGCTCCTCAAGGACCTTGCCGGTGCCCGGTCGGCCGCTCGGCCGCTGCCAGCCCGCCTCGCACCCCAAGTCTTGGGCGTAAGAGAGAGAGTCGCTTACCCCACTCTCAACTCCCCCCACCCCGAACACACAGTTCCACGTCCCTTTCTCCCGCTACCCGGAGTTCCCTCCCAGCCCCGAGACCGCATCCCGGCCAGGAGGAGTCTGCCCGGAGGACTTTACCTCTGGTGAGGGCAAAAGAGAAAGAAAAGTTAAGGCTGACGCGGCCGTGGAACCAGAGAGCCTCTCGCTCGCTGGCTGCTCGCAGGCGCGTCCTGCCTCAGCGCGGGCTTGCCAGCCCCATGCCCCGCGCGGCCGCCGCCGCTGCCGCTGCCCGGGTCCCGGCCGCCGCCTCTCTGGGCCGCGCGAGTGACGACGCCGCGGCCGCCAGGCTCTCCGCCGCCCTGCCGGCGCTCGGGGCGCGCGCGCGCACACACACACACACACACACGGACACACACACACTCCCGCCCGCTGGCGCGCACTCACACACGCGCGCGCACGCCCCCGAAGGCTGCGCCGCCGCCGCCACTCGCGCCCGGGAGTTGGGGGGCGGACGGGAGCGCGGGGGCGGGGGGCGGGGCACCGGGCGGGGCGCCGGCCAATAACGTCGGCGAGCAGGACGCCCGCTCGCCGGCCAAGTTGGAACCCCGGGAAAGAGGAAAAGTTAAAGGGAACCGTCCCTGCGGGAACGCGAGAGGGTGGCACCCGGGTGTGCGTGTTGGGGCGGGGGGAGGCAGCCCGAGGAGGAGCAGCAGAAACAAAGAAAGAGCGACGGGAGCGCCCGGGGGGTGGGGGGAACCCCGGAGGAGGAGGAAGATGTGTGAGGTTGGGGGTGGGGGTGGCCTGGGTCGGCGCGCACCCCCCGAGCGGGAGAGGAGGGGCGTGGGGACTGTCAGCTTTCTCCTGCGCGCTCCCCCCGGGGAACCCCCGCGCCCCCCGAGGAGCGTGCAGGTAGGCGGGCAGAGGAGGAGGGGACTGTTTGCCGGTTCCTGGTCCCCGCCAAACACATCTGTGTTTGTTTTCTTTGCTGCGCCGAGGTCGGGCCTTCCTCTAACCCAGGCGGCTGGCCTCGGTGGCACCGTGTGTAGGGCCGTGCCCCTGTGGGCACGCAGCCCGGGGCCGGGTGAGAAAGACTGACCTCGGCCTGTTCCCGCTCCCCTGGCCCGAAACTCCTGAGTAAATCTGACCAGGAGGGAGGCTGTCCCCTTGCCATGCCGGGGAGCAGTGGCGAGGGAGGGTGGAAGGGGAGTTTAGGGGGCAGCGCTGCCAGGAGAGAATACTCCTTCTTGCTGGCAGGGAGCTGGGATGGGCACAAATCCCCAGTGGTGAGTGGCTGGGCAGCCCGGGATCCGGGATCCGTGGCGTTCAAGCCGCATAGGGGTGGTCCCCTAGGTCTTGGCACAACCCCCCAAGGTTTTTGGGTGCTTCCTGACCGATTTCAAGAGTAGTGCACGCTACAGTATCTCATAGGACCCCCAACAACCGCTGTGCAAAGGAGCCCCGGCTGCATCTGGCAGGTGAGGAAGGTTGAAGAAACTTGCCCCTAGTGTCTCAGCCAGTAGCCATCCCATTCCGGGCTGGAAGCCTGTGCACCTCTTTCAGCATCACCATCAGCCACACCCAGGTAGAGCCCCCCAGGGCATACACAGAACCATCACCTCCCTCCATGTCACCTTCACAAAAGGCCTGAGGACAGTGGCACAAACCTCCTGTGACCATCTCCCAGCAGCTGTTGCAACTACCCAAGAGCTTTGGGACAAGAATAACCCTTGGCTGGAAGTTTGGCACCTAACTTCTACCCATTACTTATTCTTTTAAATGTGTAACTCAGGGCTAGAGCAGGGTGAGAAGCCCCAGATTCTGGTTCCGGCCCAGCAGGCTGCCTCACTGCCACCCCCCTATCCCCCCATGCCTCAAACCCTTTAAGTGTCTTCTTCTGCCTTATTGGAATTTTTGTAAACCCTAAGAAACTACCAAGGGGCTCCAAGCCTAGTCTGGCCCAGCTCCGGCTCCCTGGAGGCACACCCTCCATCCAAGAGCAGGCCACCCAGGCCAGCTCTTCCCGGGAGCAGGGATGCTCACCGAAGCCCAGGGAAATAAATCCGCCTTCCTTTGCAGAGCAGCCTAGACTCAAGCTGTCCACCCGGGAGCTCTCCCAGCTTTGCTTTCTCCTGCCCACCCCCAGACCTCCACCCCCATTTCCACTCCCTGCTCTGTTTATTTATACCTTGCCTTGTGGTAGGGAGGATTTCAGGTGACTTACAAGGGTACTTAAAATATGGCAAAATAACATAAATTACAAGGAGAGGGAAGACACTGTGGATGGCAGGATCCCAGTCAAGTCCACGACGGGCAGCAGAGCACATAGCATGGACTCAGTGTGCCTGGCCTCAAACTTTGCCGGGGTCATGTGGGGCTCCGGCAGGTGACAGCATCTTCCTGACCCTCCGTTTTCTCATCTGTATTAGGGTGATAGTCACACCCACCTCACTGTGAGCATCCGCTGAATGGGCACATGTCAGTCTTACGGCATGCAGTAGATACGTAGCCGTCCTGTGCTTCAGTAGTACCCATGAATGTGACTCTACATGCAAAAAGCTTGTGAAAAATGGCATGGCGGATAAACACATAGGGGTGTAAAAAGTTGTGAAACCCATGCAGTGTGTTCCCATAATACATGTGTTTCATGAGATTTTTGAAGATTCCTTGCATGTGTAAATATTCATGAAGCCACTCATGCAGTAAGCAGACATAGAAATGCAGATGAAAAGTCTGTTTTAGGAGTTTATTTGAAAGACAGCATTAAAAGAGAAGAGGCAGAGATATGCTCCATCCACTGGTTCACTCCCCTCAAATGGCCACAAGGCCAGCCTGGTCTCCTCCTTGGGTACGGAGGCCCAAGCATCTTCGGATGCTTTCCCAGGTACATTAGGAGGAAGTTTGATCAGAAGTGGAGCAGCAGGGACTCAAACCAGTGCTTTCATATGGGATGCCAGCACTGCTGGCAGTGGTATAACTCCCTATACCACCATGCCAGCTCCTGTGACCAGTACTGCAATTGCTAGAGTTATGCAAGCATTTGAAATCGTTGAAAGAAGTTGGAATCATGCGAAAAGTTGTTCACACCATATCACAAAAGGAATAAAGCAAATTTAAAAACATGAATAGGGAAATCTTATTTTTGTGTATATTTTTAAAGTGTGCATCAGGAGCCAACATTGTTATAATGGCTCTCTCCGGATAATGAGGCAACAGGTGAATTTTATTTACCTTGGCTTGGGTGTACTAAATATTGTAAAGTGAGGCAGGAAGGAGAGGTGAGAAAAGGCCAGCATAAAAGAAAATATGCACATGGGGGTTTAAAAAAAATGCCCATTGCACCCTGGAATGCCCAGTCACCTCCTCCTGTTGGGGGTACAGAATTGTCCCCCAAATGAGAGGACACCACATCCCTTACACAGTTCATCCAAAAGACCCGTTGCTCAAGAGAATCCCAACTAGTCTTAGTGCTACAATCACATAGGAATTTCTTCTAGAGGCAGGGGATGGGGTTGCCCCCATAGTGTGAGGTCATGAGCACCCATCCATCCCCAACAATCCCCCAGGGAAACATCATCCCCCACCCCTGCCTTGGTTTCGTTAGAACCCCTCATGTCAGCCATGGCATCCCAGTAGCAGAGACCAAGTGAGGAAAGGCCAATGTGGCCAGGTGGGGTTGGAAGGAGGCAAACAGGTGCCCAGCCCACTGCCCACCTGGCCTGCATGTGCCTTGGAAGCATCTCCAGCACTCAGATAGCCAAGTGCTATCCAAGCCTTCCCCCTGCTGTGTGGCCTGCTTTCTGTCTACTGAACGTTTGGTGGATCCAGTCTGGCAGGCAATTTGCAATTGCTCTCCCTGGAGCCAACCAACCTTAGAGGGCAGGAGAGGTGCAGCTTCTACTTTTCTTGTAGGTCTAAGCCTGTCACCTTCACTAGCTCCCGCTGGGCGGGGTGCGTCTTCTATCTAGGAGCTCCAGAAACTTCTGGAACACAGGAGACCTTCTCTACCTCCATGCAAAAACCAAACACTCTCAATCCCTTCCACAGCTGGTCTCGTTCCAACCCGACCATGCAGGTCAGATGGATGTTGTCTGCTTTCTTCCTATTTTGGGACGCCAGACCTCTGTCATCCCCGTGTTAGCTCTTCCAGGCCCCAGATATTCCCAGTTCCTTGACGGATCTCTCTCGGGACATGGTTTTTCTGAGCTCTCTGCCGCCTCTCCCGGGGCCCTCTCATTTGTCAGTGTCCCCCGGCTGAGCACCCGCTGCCTTTGGAAGAGACAAAATGAAAAAAACAGATGTGTAAGTGTCACGAGAGTGCCTCGGAGCCAGGGGTTATAAATACACACCCCGCAAGGCGGGGTCAGGCTCGGAGCAGCAGGATCCGCCTGACAAACTGGGAGTTCCAAACACAGCCGTGGTGGGCGCAAAAAGTCTGTGCAGGTGTTCCCTAGAAGGAATGCCTGAGGAGGGGGCAGTGGCCGGCACACAGTCTTACCTGTGAAGCCAGAGCGATCAGCCAGCAGAGCAGTGGGTGGATTTGATGTTCTAGGAGAAGCCAGAGGAGGAAGAGGAGGACTGAGAGACTCAGGTGTCCCAGAA